CCGGCCGCCGCGCGAAACTCCTTCCGCGCGCGCGCGGGCTCGCGTACAGCAGGGGATGACGAAGTGGCACTGTCCGCGAGGGGGTGACTCTTGGGCAGCACACAATTCTCGCTGTGAACCTCCAGAATGCAAGAATATTTTATCAGCCGACTCGGTTATTTGTCAAAATTTGGGTCGGTCGGGGACAGGAAACCGGCAATCAAATTCGGACGGCCTTAGGTGCGAATACCCTAGCCAAAAGAGACCTGGCGCTGCTGCGATGCACCCATATCACCGAGCTGTGACGACCGTTCCCAGGTTGCAACCCTAAAACGAAGCTTGCAAGGGTCCAGAAGGACCAGAACTAATAAAAGCCTGCCCGTGCCACGGACCCCGGGAGGGCGGGTATGGAGAATAGGGACCAGAACTTGATCTCAGGTTCCGGATCTCGGGACGTTCCTGATCTCAGAGAAGCAACTGTAGGGGGTAGTATTCGGTCTGTGCCGTACCCCCTCTTGACACCGGGTGAAAGTCAATTTGATCTCAGCAAGCTGCGATACGGGGTTTAACTCTGCCTATGACATGCCCCCCGAGGCACTAACAGATTCTGACTTTGGTCGGCAGCGCGCCGTCCGATGCAAACGGAAGGCTCAGATTCTAGCCGCGGGACCCGGCCGTTCAAGGTCACCGGTCCCCAGATCGGGAAAGTTACCGGGGATCAGGAATGTTGGTCCCTATTCTCCATAGCCGTCTAGAGTCAGCTCTACCGCCGGGCCGGCCACCGGCGCTGTTGTGTTTTACCAGCTAGCAAGTGCTGCAGTCCGCCCCAAGCTGTGGGAAATCCTGCAGAGCACTTAAGAAAAGAAGAAGAGCGTTGCCCATCGCCAGCAAGCTCCTTTCTCTGCTCACAGTTGCAGGGCCGGGAACAGGCTACGTTTTGTTCAGGCTGACCATCTGGCGGTGCCTGAGTGGATCGTTCCACAGGGGGTTACTTCTACTAGAAGCAGCCGCGGTGGCTGATATAAAATGTTCACAAGAGTCAGGTAAGCTTCCACGCACATCAAATGGTTCCGCAGCGCTAAGAAGCATGCAGCATGGTTAATCCGCAGGGCATGATTTACATTCTCAACGATTCCAGAAAAGGGTATGACCATTTTTCATTGTTTACCAGAATGTGTCTTTCTTTCCTTAAAGTAGAACACATTAATTCTTGGTACAGGCGCCATCATTTAAAAACAAAAGAGGTTCACAGGGGTATGGTCAGGCTTCCCTGATGCACGACTTGAATTAGTCCTTCTCGTGTACCAAGCAAGGGCCTGTTCTTTCTTAAAGTAGAATAGCTGGAATCTTGGTAGATGCGATCATCTACAAGGTGCTCCGCATGTGCAAGGGTATGGAGCTTTTTCATGTACCAAGGGAAGACTTGTTCTTTCTTAAAGTAGAACACATCGATTCTTGGTACATGTGCCATCAATCACAATCTGAGAGGTTCACAGGGGTATGGCTGGGTTTTTAAAAAGGCTTTCTTGCAGGGTACCTGTTCTCTTTCAAAGGAGAATTCATCTTTCTTAGTACGCTGCGATCAAGAAGCATCTCAGGTTACACATACTGCAGTAATCATGTGGGCGCAGGTTTTGAGTACGTCACAGAGTTCCATCGACATGGCGCCTTGTGACAGAGGTGTCTTGGGCATCAGCAGCGGGAGTCACGAGCAGCGATGCCATCCCCAGAGCCAGGTGAGTGACGAAAATACTTGAAAACGAAGGGCTGCCAAGAGCGGCGACTTTCACCTGTATTTTCACTCACCTGTGGCGGTGGTGAGTTGCTCCATTGTTGGCGGCCTTTCTGAAGCGTAGGTAATTGTGTTGTAAAAGTCGTTGGCAACTGTGCAGGTGGTGGCTTCGGTGGCTTCTACAGAGGGTTCTGCTGCCATGGGCGCATACAGCGATGATGGGAGAGGTCCCTGCTCCGACCCAGTGCAGGTGAGGTTCTTGATCGTTTCATGCCCCGGGCTGGGAAACAGCTTTGTTGAGGTGTCAGACACCCCGGAATTGCGGGGTGGTTAGGTAGCAGACACCTGTGTCTCTGATAGGCGCCACATACAACAGGTAGATGCCTGTACCAAGAACAAGCCTGCTCTTTTTAAACTAGAATAGCTGGAATCTTGGAACATATGCCATCAGTTACACATGTCAGAGGATCCCATGAGGATTGGTTGGGCTTCCCTGGTGCAGCAGAATTTCCCTGTTCTTTTTTAAAGTAGAAATTTCTGAACCTTGGCACATATGCCATCCGCTACAAGATGTCGGATATATCAGGGTTTGGCCGGGCTTTCTTACGTACTCTCATAAACATTATCTTTCTCAGAGTACGATCTTAGTGCGGTGAGCATGGGCTCTTCTAAGCACCAGTACTTACGTGCATAGAACATCTGCAGTTTCCGAGCGCTGCATGGCAGAGACCGCAGAATCCTGTCGACCCGGCGCCCTCGGACCCTAGCATCTCGGGCACCAGCAGCGGCATCCAAGAGCAGCTCAGGTTGCGCTGCCGTCCTTGGGACCAGGTGAGTGGTCACCCAACGAACTGGCTTTGTGCTGCCAGTGAGCCTGCGAACTACACGGCTTGCTTACTAGGAAGCTTCTCAACTGCGCTGTTTGCTGCTAACCAGTCCGCTAACCACAAGGTTTGCTGTTGATCAGCCGCTAACCTGCTGGACTTTTAGCAAGTCTGTCCTTTTGATCCTGTTGACCTATCTTAAAAAAGCGTCAACTGCAGAGGTGCCCATGACTCAAAATTGAATGAGTTATGGGACCTTTCCTTTGGAAGCAGCTGTTGTATCGCCAGCCTGTGCCCTCCTAGAAGCGTCCGCAAAAGGCCAGCTGCGTTCTGATTGGTGCAGCATCTTGAACCCAGTTTGCGACCACTTTTCCAAACTGGCCATTAATTCGTCTGGCTAACTGCGCAGGTGGTGGCTTCCACAGACGGGGTGCAAGGAAGGGATGCAGAAAGAGATCCCTCTGCTGCGATAGATCCAGACAGCGATGTGGGCGAAGGTCTCTCCTTCCTAGTCCAGGTGATGTTTTTGCGTCTTGCATGCCCTGTCCTGCGCATTAGCAATGGGAAGGAGCTTGAAGGAAGTTCGATATCACAAACGCAGGGGGTGACAGGAATCGAGTTTTTATGCGTAGGCCTCCACATACAAGAGGTAGATTAAATGGCTCTTTCTCTCTGCCAAGAACAGTTTGTTCTTTCTTGAAGTAGAACCAACTGATTCTTGGTACACACGCTGTGACCTACATTGTTTCAGGATTGTTGGGGGTAAGGGCCGGGCCATTCTTGTGTACCAAGGTTCGTCTGTTCTTTCTTAAGTAGAATCTTCTGATTCTTGGTACTCGTGCAATCAACTGCATAATCCTAGGATTCCGGGGGGCATGGTCGGGTGTCAGGACTTGTGTACCAAGCTTGGTTTGTTCTTTCTTACCGTGTGATGTCCTTCTTGGTACACATGCTCTTACTTACAAGGACTTCAGATATCACTTACAAGGTCTCTTTGTGTCCAGGGGCAGGGTTTTACGGCTTCAGGGTTTTGGAGCTCGAAGGGGTTAGACATGCCATGTTGTACCAAGGAATGGTCTGTTCTTTCTAGAGTAGAAGTTCCTGATTCTTGGTACACATGCCATCAATGACAATATCCTCCAGGTTTCATAGGGGTGTGGTTGTGCACCAAACAAAGGTCTGTTCTTTTGAAGGGTAGAAGAGGCCGTTTCTTTGTACACCCGCCATCAGTCACAATAATCGATTCAGATCTCTCAAGGGGTATGGCCGGGCATATATCCAGGTGTACCAAGGAAAGGCTTGCTCTTCGTACACATTCTGTCACTTACAATCTCCTGCAGTTATCTAAGGGTATGGTGGTGTACCAGGAAGAGATCTGTTCTATTCTAAAGTGGAAAGCAGAGGCGCAAACAAGTCACAGTGCTTTCCGGATTGCCACTGTTTTCTCTTGTTTATTACTCGAAATGAACCCCATCCTTCTCTTTTCATGCAGATCCCGCTCTCGACTGTGGGGGACACCGTACCACAGCCGGCTCACTGGCCGTCCACCGATGGAGTGAGGCTCGAGGGCCTGGATGGTATTTTGGAAGCCGTCTCTTTGCCCCAGATCCGAGCCCTGGTCAAGAGCGCACGTCAGCAGATGACCGTAAGGGGCCAGCGGGTCTTGCGCAGGAGCGCGGGGGGCGTGTGCCGGCTGGCAAGAGAGGCATGCAGGCCGGAAGGTCTCCTCTGGACGAAGGCAGCCTGGGATGGGGCTCTGCAGGCTGCCATGAGCGGCCTAGAGGGGCTGGTCGGTGTCCCAGAATTGGCCCTGGTCGAGGGGTTCAGGCGAGTCGTCGTCTCGACGGCTGCAGCGCACATGGAGGGGCTGAGGCAGCGGGGTAGGGAGGGTAGGTCGGGTGGGGTCCGGGTCAGGGTTCAGGCGGCCCGCACAGCTAAAGTCTCTAGTCCAAACCGTGGGAGCAAGCGCACCGGCAGTGACTGCAACAAGCAGCTGGGGGCACGGTCAGGTGAGCTGGCAGTATTCCAGCTCTTATGTTGCGTCTAAGTCCGTTAAATCTGGTCAGGCATGCTCAGACATGGAGGTTGTACTTACGGGGTGGGGAATCAAGTACAGGGGAATCAGTCAGGTGAATTGGCACTGACTGGCCGTGCCAGCATGATTTGCAGCGCCCCAATTGCATGCAGCGCCATATTGCTTGCCGGTTTTAGAGGGTTTCTTCAAGCTTCCTCATGTACCAAGCTTGGCTTCTTTCAGACTCTCAGCGGGCATGGCCGTCCCTGCAATGTACCAAGCTTTTCCTCTTTCTGTTTAGAGTATAAAAGGCCAATCCTTGGTACATGCTGTCAAGGAAGCTTAGCGGGCATGATGGTTGTCCTGGGGGTGTACCAATAATTTGCTCTTTTTCTGCACAGAGTATAAGAGACTAATTGTTGGTACATGCTGTCAAGTACAAAGGAACCTTGGCGGGCATCGCCGTTTCTGCAGTGTACCAAGAACAGCCGGTCTTTCTTTACAGGAATAGAGGTTGATTCTTGGTACGTGCCGTCAGCTACAAACCCCAAACCTACTGCAAAAGGAGGAGATGCATCGCGGCACGCACCAATTTTTGCATGCCTCTCCCAAGTTTGGAATCAGGTCCTTACCCAACCTCTGCTCATCTTCTTTGCAGACCCACATACTCTTCATTGCCACGAGTGCGGCGCTACCGCAGAGTTCGGGCTGCGAGGAAGTAAGGAGGGGGTGAAGGTCAAGTACTTCTGCGAAGGGCATGCAACATGCAGTGGGTGCTTTCGAGTTGACAAAGAGCGCAGAGGTGAGGAGCATTGGGGAAGCCTGCCCCTGAGTTGGATTTAAGTTCCATGCAATATTTGAAGCTGCTCGCCTCGCATTCAGCAATGGATCTTTGAAGTAGAATGGTGAAGACTTACGTGCTCTATATGCTCTGCAGCATGGGCAGAGGACTGGGAGCTTCGTGGCTTGAGAGCATTGGAGAGGAGATTGGAAGAGGAGTTGCGAAATCTGGGAGGGGCATCGTGTGCCATGATTCCACCAGCAGGTGAGCGTGCAAAGCAGGGTGGGCCGGTCTGACTAGGTTTGCTTGTGTTCAAACTGGGAGGAGCGGTGACTTCGTTTCTTTGCCTGTGGTGCCTGGTGATCCTTCTTGAGTTCACCAATACATGATTTTTTTGTGATGGCAGAGCAACCGAGCGCTTCACGTTGTGATTCTGCACCTTTGAATGAGTCCCAAAGCTCAAGGGATGGGGTTTCAATGCCCATGAGCCGATCGCTCATAGGTAAGGCACTTCAATTGCAGCTCCGAACCCGCAGTCACTTCAGGAGCACTTGGGCTGTCTAGGCAGAGGCTTGAAAAGCACTTTCGGTTTGTCCTCCTACGTTGGTCTTGTTGTCTTGCTTCCCTATCTCCTGTTTGTTTTGGATGAAAGCAGTTGCATTCAGGCAGTCAGCTCTGCAATCATCTATTCCACATGCAGAAAAGCTTTTACATATCGCTGGCATCGAGCAGAATCCGGGGCCTCCCTCAAACCAAGTGAGTCTGGACAAGGGACATCCCTGCTGGCATCTGTTGAGTATGTGTGCATGCTTAGGGCCACGGTTGTGACATCCGCATTGAGGTTCTTGGAAGAGACTTCGCATCTTGCCTTGTGCTGCGATTGATGAGTGCAGCTTAACATTCTTGGACTCTGCAAAAGGCAAGTTGCACGGCAACGTTCACAGCATGATTGTTTCTTGCAGGCAACTGTCCACATTGTGGTCAAGCGAGCAGACACCAATGAGGGGCGCACCTACAAGGCACCCCAGGTCTGCAAAGATGTCCTGCAGGATCTGCAAGAAATCAAAGGTTGGCCAAAAGGATCCTTGAGCACATTCGAGGATGGAATGGAGGTAACATTCCTGGGCGGAAACACGCTTCAAGAAGGGGAGTATCTCTACACAGTCTCCCAAGGTAAGGCTCGCATTCACAGAGGCAGCCTACTTGAGTGTCAGGATAAAAGGCTGTGGCAGATCTGCAATAGGGGATGCAAGCGCTGGGTGGTTTGTTTAGCATGTAGCGGGAGGGGGCCGGAAAGCTTGGAAAAGATGGTACAAGAGGGGACTTTTCCAATCGGAAGGTGGTGTTGGCTTCCTTGCCAGGTCGTTCAGTCGCTGCTTCATTACTTTTGCTGAGGACAGTGGTGCATGCGAGGCATGGACTGAATCCTAGAAGAAGCAGAGCAGAAAGCGGACCTATGTGCAAATTGTTGGCAGAGCACGCACACTTCGTGCGCATCAGAATCTTTATTAGCCGTTAGCCATTACCCTTATGCACTCTTCCAGATTGTCAGGGTCACAACCATTGGGTTTTAACTTGGCTCGCTGACCATTGGGTTTTCACTTGGCTCGCTGCCTAGAGCATGTACAAACAAGACCGTGACATACTCCGCTCTTTTCCCATGCAGGGGCTGGTCCAACAGCACTTGGCGAATCCAGCAGTGGGGCGCAGGTGCGGGGGGAGCAAGCAGGTGAGTGCACTTCCTTACAAAGTGACCCTTTTAGCGATCTTCCATGGTTGTGCACATGGGATGTATCATGCGCCCCTTACGTGCAAATATTGGTCGTCCGCTGGCTCTTCCATGGTTGAGCTGGGGAGTTTCCAAGTTTTCGTTCCATTTGCAGTGGCAGACAGGAATCCTTTGCTGGTGTAGCCTTTGAATCACCATTGCGGCGCCACCATTTACAACTAAGTATGCATTGGTCTCACCTGCCATACTGCAGTTATTTGCGGCGTACCCTTCTCTTGTCCTGCTGTAGCTGCCTCTGTTTGTGTAGTTCTGTAGTTTTGCTGAGGCTGGTCAGGTTGGTCGAGAGAATGTTTGGCAGTGAAAGTGCTGTCTCGTCTTCAGCGGAACTATTGCCAGTCGTTCAATGGTCAGTGGCTTCGTGTGGTGTAATTTGTTGCTGGATCTAATGATTGGATTTGGCAGTGGGCGTGTAGCAGCTTGCTTGTATTCTGACCTCCTCTCTGTGCTTGCAGGCGCAAGCTTTGACACTTCCGTCCGACTGGTCGGAGCAGACAGTGAGGGGATCAACAGACGAAGAGTGAAGGGGGGGTTCTTCACCCCCCGTACGGAGACTGTGCACAAGATCTTGTTGCGCGTGCAAGAGTCGGGCGTGTTGATCCTGGCAGCTACTCCGTGCTCTGGAAAGACCTCAATTTGTCAGCTAGTATACCAGGAGGCCAAGAAGAGCCCAGTCTATGACTCTGACAGTGTCTTCTACGTCAACTGTGCCCGGGTAGGGAGCGGGGGCAAGTCTTTCGAGGATGTGTTCTTGGATCAGACCGGAGCTCCATTTTCGGAGGCATCGAAGTCGCCTACAAGCAGTCCTGAGAAGCAGCAGCGGCTGTCAGGGGACGTTAGTAGCTCCAACTCTCAGGTTCCACCACGCAAGAAGAAGCTCCTTATTCTCGATGAAGTGCAGACCACTTACGACCGGAAAGCCCCTGGACATTCTCTCTTGTGGCCGCTCCCCAAGGAAGTACTGGCCGCCCAGCATGACGGAATCAACATCCTTTTGTCCGCATCAAGGGGTTCAAATCCGTCTGCTGATGGGCTGCCTAGCACCCCCATTCACTTCTCTGAAGATCAACGAATTCCTCTGAGGTGAGACTGCCCGGACAGCAGCGGTTCTTGCCTTCTAGTACGCCCTCCAGTTGTTGCTTGTGAACCTGTGCAAGGTTGCCATCAGTTCAAGCCATTGTTGAGCTTTTTGGAATGTTTACAATCGAGAGTGTATCCTTAGTGAAAAGCAATTATTGTATGCCCTTGAAAGGGCTGAAGCTTTGATTGTGAAGGACCAGACTTCTCAAGCTTCTCCTTTTTGCAGGCCCCGGCCTGGCTTTACTACCTTGATTGGAACTAGTACCTCAGAGCCGGCGCTGCAGTTTACCATGGACGAGTACAAGCAGGTGTTTGACACGTTCTGCGCAAGCATTGGGTTTGGCGGGGATCAGCCTCAGCTTCAGCTTCGAACGCTTTACATTGTCATTGAGGCGACCACTGAGCGGCACCCAGGAAGCGTCCTTCACATTCTAGACGTTCTCAAGGGTCAGTCGCCATCAAATTATGCTGGCCGTGTGGGAGAGTGGGCAGCCAAGACAGTGGAATTCGTGACATCTCCGAGACTGCTCGGGACTCTGTCTGGAACAAGGGCATTCCCAAAGTAAGAATCTGAAGTATTCAATCCTTTGCTTGGTTGCAGGTTCTTTTTTGCATCGGTTGCGTTGTGAGCACCTGCAAACATTTTGGCAAGATCTCCTTGGGATCCTCTCTTGCTTGTTGCCATGCACAAGCCCAACTACTGTATTCTACTTGTCACTGTCATTGGCATTGTCGGTGTCTGAATTTCTCCGTGCTCTTTCAGTGTGGACGAGCTTTGGGACGACAAAGTGGCGCTCGACCTCATCAGGAAGGTGCTGGCAAGTGGAGGCAAGGTGGGTTCAGGCCGTTAACCCTGGAGAATGAACGGCCTGAACGTAGCTCTCATTAATCGTACCCATTGCTGCGATCCTTCTCAGGAGCCCCTTTTTCCTTGGGAGAGTGCACAATCTTATTCCAAATGCTCCTGTGTTGCAGGAACATCTGCACGTCATTCGGAACTGGTCCCTGGAGTGCGCCAAGAAGGCTCAAGAGCTTGTCAGGTCGGGGCACATGCTTCTGGAGCAGAATATCATCTCTTTTACCAGCGGCCTCCACATGGAGTTCTACAGGTACCATCTGGCCAGACGGACCTGGGGTACACCCAAGCACATGCCCGGCTCCATTGAGACCTTCTTGGCCGAGGCCCTTACCAAGATGCATCCTTCTGTGCTCCAACACAGTCTGAACCTGAGCACCCGGGGTGGCGTCCTGGGGGGTGTGTTGGAGGCGCACTTCCAATTTGAACTCTACAGGTAGGTTTCCGTATGAACATGTGTCAATCCCAACAAGAGCATTTGGCATGGCTGTCAGCCTTCAACAAAATTGCGCACAGCCCATCGCATGACGCGTTAAATGGGCAGACGATGTCTTAGGTTCTATGTTTGCTTTATTGATACAATAAGAGTGTGACTTGTTGTAGTGATTTGATGCAGTGCCATCACAAGCCTTCTGCCAGAAGGCTTCTACTTATCGCCGACGGTCGGCAAAATCTACGGGCTGGAGGCCTATGTGGATTTTGTGCTGCATGGACTGGGGGGGAAGTGGGCGCTGGAGCTTTTGGTCGACGGGAGGGACCTGACAGAGCACGAAAGAAGGTGCGCTCAGCAGGCTTGATGTCATCCCCAGTTGGTCTTTCGATACATATTTCATCGCGACTTCTTCAAGCACTGCCCGAAAAGGTGTAAGCATGAAGGAAACTATGCAATTAGGTTTCAGGTTGGGTTAACAGGGTGAGCTTGACAGGAGGAGCTAGTCCGCACAGCCTCATTAGCCCATACCGCCCAAACTTCTCGTCCTTGAAGTCCCTGGCAAGCCCCATGAGGTTTGGTGTTTCAAGAGCACAACAAGTAGCTGTTGCTACACAACCTTCTCGCTCACTGACGTTTGCAATCATGCAGGTTTGAGCCAAATGGCAGGTACCACCCAATGGTCCTTGGCAAGCAGATTGATGCCTGGATTGTGGTGGATCTGCGGAATCCAAGCACCGGCAAGCCGAGACGGGTGAGGGGGCCAGGAGTCTGTCATGTAATCTTTGATCCAGGCTACGAGAAAGCCACGATCGATTTTGGTAACGGCAACGAGCAGGAGGTGATCCTAACAGGTCGAGCGTGATTGCATATATGAACATTATTGTCATTTGACGGATGCAAGCTCATTCCCAGTCGACAGCTGCGCATATTGCAATTGATTGAATTCATTGTCCGTAAGTTTCCAATCTGCAATACTCATGACCTTACCAGCAACTAGAACATCTAGAACATCTGGCATTAGTCTGTGCTGATTTGCCACAATGAATTACTTGAATGTTGATGGGATTTTTTGCGTGTGCAACATGTGTTGGTCGTTTACTCCATACTATAATCATGTGCAATGACTTGCAATGAGAAGTTGATGCTAGACTACTTTTGGTGCGTTCCACTTCATAAACGCAAGTCAAAAAAACAAGTAATCTATTGTTAGCCTCTATCGCAAGAAGGAATCCTACCTAAGAGCATCCACTTCAAATGCATTAGTAGACCAACTTATCGAACTAGAAACCCAATGTTGGGTAAGAGATTGCAGTGTGTTACAGAGCCTAGGTGTAGAGATCGGAAGATCACAAGTTGCAAGACGCTCATTCTCATTCAAGCAAATCCTCCACCCTAACTTGGACTTCTGGTCCTCCTCAAGCAAGCTAGTACATGTTTGATTGCGGTATTGCAACTTGCACGCAACTAGAATCGACGTCTAGGGTCAAGGCTAGTGTTGAATTGGAGCTAGGCCGCGTTCACTTGGTGTCAAATGCTCGGCCCAAGAAACGGCCTCTACACTGTTATGGAGCGGTCCCATTTATACTTCTCAATTTCATGTTGACTAAGCGCATGTTGACTAAGGATAGTGCTCGGGGGCACGAACAAACCTAAAAACCTAAACCGATAATTGAAACCCGCTCCGCACCCGTACCCACCCTAACCCCCATACCAACCCTACCCGTCCCCCGGGTGCTTTCCCTTAGTCAACATGCCCTTAGTCAACATGAAATCGAGACCTATGTCCCATTTGACGGTTACAGTCGGACCGGACGGGCGGCCCCAGCAAAAGCAGATTGATCGGCTCAAATCACAAGTCACGGGTGCCACGTCAGCCACGTCAGCTGTGGGGACTTAGGGTCCTGGGATAGGTACTGACTGGGGTTGGTACTATCAGCTGTAGGTACTTACCTACATATTTACTAGGTACGTCCCGGAGTAGCGACTGTTGGGCTATAGGATTACCGGTACCCCGGTTCCGGGTTGTCCAATGTGGATCCACACTTCACAAGATCGGGTACCGGGATAAGCGGCGGTCTGAAATGCCACGGTGGCTTGTCAAATCGGCGTGGGCTAGCTGGAGTCCCAGTGTTGCAAGAGGCTAAAGTTGACGAATAAAATTGACGAATAAAGTCCGGACGCATAAAGCATAAAGCTTTCCAGACGCCGATAAAGTGCTCGGCTAGCACCAAACCGCACGAAAACCCTAAGGTCAGTGGCTTCGCCGTTAGTGGGAACCCTAATGGGAGAGCAGTAGCAGGGAAGTAACGCGACCCTAACAATCCGTCACTGTAGTGGCGTAACCCTAACATACAATCACTGCTTTGTGACTTAACCCTAAGGTCACCCATAGTGCCCGGTTGCTTCTGCGCTTGGCAAAGATTGGTACCGCACGTGATGTGACGGCTGGTACCATTGGCAGCAGTTGTGCGCCCCGTACCGTCCGAACAAAATTCTCCCAAACTTTTCTCGTCAACTTCGTACATTTTGCCCCAGTGTTCAACCACCCCCAAAAACTTTGGCGTGCAAAAGTGCGCATAGAGGCGCATGGATCTGAGTTCAGAAGCGCTGCACACCAGTGTGCCGCGCCGGGTGGTGTGCGGCTTTGTCAGCGCATTTTTTGAACTTTGACCTTTAACACTTGGTTATGTCAGTGTCAATGCGGCAGAATATGTTGAGCGCACACGACACGGTGCAGCCTCGACTCATTACGGCACGACAGCTGTCAGGCAACCGATTGTCGGTGTTGCATAGCCTCGAGCATACGTGAGCGCCACGTCAGGGCTGTGCATATCAGGCACAAGCGCCTAGTTAGCGCTCTGCACATTCTAGATACTTGTCCCTACACTAGTTGCTAGCGTCATGGGCCACTTGGGCCAATTTGTGAGGCATCATAGGCATCAGCAGTGATAATACTCGGTAGATTCGTCCATCATTCTAGAGCGTGATTACGATGTTGAACTATGCGGCATGGGCCATCAACGGTCGGCCCAAGTTTCATGTCACCGTAGAGATTTAGCGTTTACCTTGAATATCAGATATAGAGCGCCTATTCACACTAAATTTGACTTAGAGACTCACTAAGCGCAGACTCAGAGACTGCAGCTACACATCCTCTTGCTTGAGCATGCCTAGATGGCGCTAGCGCTTGCGTTCTCACGATGCCATACAGTGCATGCTTTGTTCATCTCCCTTGTGACATCAGCGTGGCCCACGCTAGTTCACGTGTTCACAGCGCATGTTGGGCACTTGAGCTACTTAACATTCACTCGCTTTCCACACTTGAGCCCCGGGTAGGCAACTCATGTTTAAAACGTACAGGTGATCGGCTGGGACCGCCGGAGAAAAGTGTGGGTACATGGTTATAAACATGGTTCAAACACGAAAAGACACGAAAAACACGGTTTAAACATGTTTTAACCATGTTTTAAACAATAAACATGTTTGTTTTCAATTTTTATTGCACTCAAAAAATCATGGCTTCGCCCGATGACATGTACAAACATCATTTGATGTTTTAAACATGTTTGTCGATGCCATTATAAAACTCGGGGGGGGGCAGATTTTAAAACCAAGATGTTTTGGAAAAGCTCTCAACGAGCTCGTATTGAAAACAAGAATGAATATGTTAGAATATGTAGTGATAACGAGATGAACATTGTTTCGCCTGAAAAACATTGCTCGGGTTTAAAACCCTAGTTGCCTACCCGGAACTTGAGCTTTCTTCTCGATTGATATACCGCGACTCGACACGGTTCAGCCGCGCCTCATTACGGCACGACAAGTCCGTGCCTCAAAATAGCCATTGGTAAAATGGTCCGACCTAAGTGTAGAAGAGAGTGCGTCAGATGATTGAACCGCTAGCCCAAAGAGGCATGTCCGAATTCGACGCAGCTGCATGACAAATACTAGTTTGTTCTTCAATCGAGCGCGGCTGCCAGATGTGCATCCACGACGGCACGGTCGGCCGCGCGCTAGGGTGCACCCAGCCTGAACCCTGCTATGCCGTACGATCAGTGCTTTCAAACAAAGCATACCGCGACCTCATGGCCAGGTATCTCTTCTTCTTGCCCAAATCATCATGACACAACCAGCCTAGGCCCGGCCCGAAAGTAAATTATACGGGTACCGTCGGCGGCAAAATTGGATTTCGGCCGACTCTGGGTACTTCCGCACACTGGGTACTTCGAAATTCGGTAATTTTCGGAATCGAATATTTTGCAGACTGCGACCATTCGATACACTCACAAAAGGTCGTAAATTTGACTTAGCCGAATTCCGAACATCGCAAAATTCCCCGGGCACGAGAAAAATTGTGCCCGGAAGTAGAATGAAGTTCACGTTCTAAAACCGACCGCATATCAAGTCACGCTCGGTGAATCTGGCTAGAGCTAGCTACTGTGGACTGTGCAGACTCATGGTCTCCAGTAAATATTGATGAAAATCATGTATAAAATGACAATATTGTGACAGCAAAATGTGCATATGTATGCGACTCAAAATACATTTTGCACTTTACGGTACATTGCATTGCACTAAGAATTGCAGTTATGACTCGGATCCCATGCAAATTCGAATCGATGAAATGAATACGTGTATAAGATATTTCACAAATAATTCATTGAATAAAATGTGAGTATACCTAGCTTAAGCTAGCTAGAGTCCGGCCATTCAAAAGAAACTGATCAAGGAAGCTTTGCAACCCTAACTAGCCATGTCTAATCTTAGCGCCTATGGAGCCCTTGAGTGGGTCTGGTGCTAAGCGCCCACGCACCACGCACCACAAGTTGTCTGTGGAGCAGCAAGCGGCTGTCCTGAAAAGAAAGAAATCCAAAATAGCGTCAGCTGCACTTCGCGAATCAGGAGGTAGATTTGCTTCAACATCCAAGAAGATCCAATCTGAACGCCCAATTGCTGGACGCAAAGCAAGGGAAGCAGAAGTTATTCAGCAACGATACGATAGTTATATTGCTGAGAATCAGACTGTGATAGCAGCATTGAAAGCAGGTCACAGTGAACAGCTAGGGAATCTGCAGACAAAAATTTTGCAGCTGACCAAACAAGTCTCATCCTTGAGAGTCAAATTGTCTTATGCGCAGCGCAAAGGGACATCTGGTATTCAGATTGCTGGACTTGTAGGTCGTAGAAAATTAGTTGGCGGTAATAGTAAACCCACACAGATCAAGTTGGCAGGCACCGTTGAATCTTTGTTCAGCTTGGTGTTTGCAAATTCCGCAACCCGTAAATCCGCCCTTTACCAGCACTACCTCAGACATCAGTCTGACTATGAATTGATTACAGATGTTGCTCTGAACAATCAGGCTGCATTTCAGAGATGTTGTTCAACCCATCCCGAATGGTTGCAACCGTATCAACAGGCTGTCATCAAGGCTGTTGAAGATGCTTGGACCTTAGATCGGTGCTTAGCAGCTCAGATCCACTGTAAAATTGGACACTCGGAGAAGTGGCAATTCTTGATCAATCTCCTGAGCAAAACTTACAGCTCCACGGAAAAGCAGTGGGTTCGGCGAGAGATACTGGGCAAAGGGAGTAAGGTTTACCTACCCCTCTTGAAGTCCGAGAATCAGGTGAACAGCCACCGCGCAGCCTTGCACTCCATCATTCCCCTCCTTCAGAGCGAAGATGGCACCGCGTGCTGGACCGACTTGGTGCAGCTGATTGTCGAGGCTGTGAGACTCGACCGCGAACGGGGGAACCTGCGAAGCAACCGAAACCTAGTCAGAGACTTTGTCTGGCTCCACTGGGGCGGAGATGCAGCGGGATGGCTCCGGGGAATTTCCCACAGCATATGGGGGTTCAAGCTTCTCGGCAACAACCGGGTCGTCACCCATTCCCCCAAAGACATGCGGGTAGCCCTAACCTTCGAGGGGAAAGACAAGTACTCCACCTACTTGGAGTACTTGCAGCCGTTCCTAGAGCCCATGCAAACCATGACAACCAAGGGGCTCCAGGTAGAAACCACCCACTACACGGTCAACCAAACCCTCGGCGCAGACTACGTCCTGATGAGCGAGCTCCTTGGGCACTCTGGAGCCTCGGGTCTAATCGGGTGTTGCTTTTGCGAGGAGCACAAGGACAACTACGGCAAGACGCATGTCGTTGACGGACAGCGAGTTCCCCTCACAGCCAACCCCCGAACCACAGAAAGCATGGCTGCAGCTGCGCACCGCCCCTGGACAACAGGCCCTGGCGTTGAGTGTCCCTACTGCCACGAGCAATTCCCCAACCAAGAAGCAGTGGATGCGTCCCAACCCCCACAAACCAAGGGTGAAACCAAGAAGTTCCAGCAATCGCACGCGGGAATGCGGTTCGGCACCCCTCCAATCTTCCGATTCCCCATCAGCGCCTACGCAATCTGCATCCTCCATCTCCTCCTCCGCCTCATGGCGATAACCTTCCAGCGAACCATTGCAGTCAACCTCAACACGCCGGAGAAAACGGACGCAGTCAACGCACTCATCAAAGCCCTGCACCTGGGATGCAAGAAACTCGAGCAGAGAACGGCGAGCGGGGACAAGAAGAAAGATACCACCGACATCAACTTCATTGGAAGGTGGGCTTTACCTCTGACTTTCCCCTCTGCTCCCTAGTGCGGCTTCAATCTGCTCCTTCCTCTCCTTGCTCTCCTTGCTCTTCTTGCTGCGCCTTCTTGCTCCTCTCTGCTCCCTGCTAGACGGCTCCCTACGGCTTCTTGCTCCCTGCTTCCCACTTCTCATTGCTCCATGCTCCACGGTCCCCAATCTGCCAATCAAAAACAAAAAAGTCAATCGAGAACTAACAAGGATATTGTCAATATTTTGCAAAGATGTGACGGTTGGACAGGGTCACACGCTGCCTGTCTACTTCCCATGTGCGGAAACCATGCGAAGCTTCTCAGCCCGCCTTGGGATCACCTCAGCAAGAGCGCCTCTCAGAAAAATTGCGTCTTCTTGCCTTCTTCCCCAAAGACTGATTAGTTAGGACTCACGAAGAGGCTCCATA